TTCTCCAAGGCCCAATATACAGACAACAGCGATGCCAAAAAGGGCTTGGCCATTCTGCTGAACTTGGATAGGTAATCCGCCCAAAGTCGCAAATTGTCTGTTTTTTATAGCCCACAGCCACTTGATACGCAGATCCCCTACTCAGCCTGCCATACTGCAAAGGGCGGTGAATCTTTTCCCAAGAAACTAGACAATTTCCACCATTGGCCTGCTCCTGACCTTTCCAAAGAAACCCTCTTCGCTTCCTGTCAATTGCTTTAAACACCCATTTTGGCAAATCCAAAGCAATCAAGTAATGGATAGTAGTGTCTGTCAACACGACACCTACCATGATTAATCTTCCAGCCCTGTTCATGAGAGAGGACTTCCAACCTGGAAAATGATCAGCGACCTTATCCACTAGTGGCAACAGATCGGACTTTGTAGGTTTACGTATTGTGAGCGGTAGGCCAAGGTAAGTGCAAGGGAAACACATAACAAATTATTGGAGGTGAGAACTAAATCCTTCTCTGAACATTGAATGGGTTTGAATGGGTGTCACTCAACTTTTTGTCAAGTTAGTCTTGAGACCCAAGGCATGGCCCAAAATTTGTAGCACCAGCATGATCGTATGGTGATCAAGTGATCAACACTCGAAGGCCAAAGGAATACTACTGCATCATCTGCATAGAAAGAAACCCTGTGCTTGGCTCCTTGGACAGCAAGTGGTTGCAGCAGATTCATTTTAGCAGCATGGTTCACCAGGGAGGCAGGGAATTAAGAACATCCATACAAGGATAAACAACATTGGGGACAAAGGATCTCCCTGACAAAGTCCTCAAAGATGAGATATAGATTCCCCAGGCTCTCCATTCAAAATAATCTGTGTCGAGGAGGTAGGTAACAGCAGACATATGAGATTCATCTAGCACCAACCAAAACCCATTTGTTGTAATACTTCCAACAAGAAGATCAAGAAACTGAGTCAGAAGCCTTAGAAATGTCTAACTTCAGGTGGATGTGAGGCTCCTTTTTGTGCAGACTCCTAGCCATTTGTTGGACAACTAAGAAGTTATCGTGAATATTCCTTCCTCACACAAAAGCACTTTGATTTGTAACTGGTAAACAAAGGAGCTAATCAGTTGGCCAGGATTTTTGTCACCAACTTCACAAAGCTGTATACAAGGCTAATTGGTCTGTAGTCTTTAACTTGCATGGCATCCGCCTTTTAATGGGTAACAGAGTTATGAAAGCTATGTTGAGGAGTTTAAATCTGAAAACATGACCACACTCAATAGCTGAAAGAGCCTGCAGCACATCACCTTTTATAATGTCCCAACAGGAGCTAAAAAATGGCCTGTGAACCCATCTGGCCCCGGGGCTTTGTCCAATGGCATGCCTTTGGTAGTTTCCCATGCTTCCTCTTCCAAGAATGGCTCATCATGGGACGCAAGATCATGTTGCTGTATATGGAGGGCAGCAAGGTCTATTGTATAGTCTCTGTCTTCAGTCGAACCTAGCAGATTATCATAGAAATCCAGAACAGCATCCTGTTTATCCTCTTGAGATATGACAATCTGATCACCAACCTGAAGTTTAGCGGCAAAAGTCTCCTTGGAGATTCCTAGATTGACTGAGCAATGAAATGTTTTAATTGTATGAATCTTCTCAAACACTAACAACAATGCATTATTTGCAATGTCATTGAGGCATCTTTTGCTGTCTTTTTATTTTTGTGTGTGAACAATTATATTTTAAGATGTTCAATCAAATTTTTCGATGTAGTAAGCATTGTACTGCATGCACTGCTGCAAATTATTAGACCATATTGTCAAACTTGCAAACATTTGTCAGAAGATAGTAACCTTCACTCTTTTTCCTTTTAACAATTACAGCGGTCATATCAATGAAAGTTACTATTGTACAACAGGTTATTGTTGGCAACAGGAGATGGCATCGCAGCCAGAAACTAGAAAAATGAACATAGTAACTTTTGTTTGTGATGATCATATGGAACCAACAGCAGCAGTACTTTTAAAACAGCTCAGCAGCCATGTAGTTGCTGGTTTTTCCTGATTACATGCTGCAACAGCTTCACATTATTGAAGAATCTGATGAGGCTTCTGTGGAATTATGAGCTGAGATGAACCTGGTAAGCATTGGAATTCTGGTTTCAGAGCGCTCTAATTTCGAGGATTAACTTCTGTTCCATTTTAAGCGTGTAGTAAATTGCAAGGAAGTCCTTTACTTCTGTTCACAGATTGCAATCAGTTTCGCGTGCTCCAAAGGTAATATTTGATTACCATAGTTGCAGGGATTTAATAAATCCACGAGTTAGAAATGGCCATTTAATGTTGAATAAGAATGAATGCCTTCTTGTTCTATTGGATATGGAGATGAATAACAGACACATTGTCGTGAATGTGGTTTAATTCCATAACAATGAAATAAACATGTCGCTTCACATGCAAACTGTTGTTTGAGCAACTTGGTTATTCCATGAGTTTTATTATATTTATATTTTAGTTCACATGAGTTGTTTATGAATCTCTTTCTTTGTTACTAATTAACTAGACTCCATTTTCAAATATATGACATTTAGGACAAGCTTGTTGTAAGTGTCATGTATTTAAAAACAGGGAACAATGTCAAAGTTATTAGATTTGCTAGAGGCAGGCTATTTAGCTTTTGGATATCCATGTTAATCTTGTTGGTGTTTTGGTGACTTCAAAAGTCTATGGGTTGCTAGGAAATTTTAGTATGTACAATATTTGTATCTTACCTTACTTTGCCAATTTATTTAGATTCTTTTGATTCCAAGTTTTTTTTACTTTAGTGTTGTAGATGTAGTTACAGTTCTTAGAATTGGCGTTGAAACAAAAAGAATAAGGACGAACCTTACAGTTATAATCATGTAAAATTGATTTGTAATTGGGGGCACATTACATTTATCAAAGTCCACGAAAAGTTGCAAATTTTGTACAGTGTTGTTCTTTTATTTTTGTTAAATAAAGCTTTCAGTGAGGGCCTCCCCTGCTGTATTTTCCACTAAAAAACGAAACATTGCAAAAAAAAAAAAAATGTGCTTCTAAATGTGAAGAAAGAATGGAATCAAACAACAGATTAGATAAAAAAAACTATGATACACAATCACCAGAAACTTGGGTTGATTGGATCATGGGTCAGGGTTAAGGGTCACTGACCGCAATTGTCTAAAAAAAATGTTTAGTGTATGAAGGCCCATCTAATGGAGACCCATATGGCCCATGTGGCTCTCTCTATCTTCTCAAATCCTGAGGTCAGTAACATGGTGCCAAAGCCATGGATTAGGGTTAGGATTAGGGGGTGTTTGGTTCTTTAGTCGCTCCTAAAATTTATGTCACATCGAATGTTTAGATGCTAATAAGGAGCATTAAATATAGATTAATTACAAAACCAATTACATAGATGGAGGCTAATTTCCGAGATGAATTTTTTAAGCCTAATTAATCTGTCATTAGCACATGTATACTGTAGCACCACGTTGTCAAACCATGGACTAATTAGGCTTAGAAGATTCGTCTTGCAAATTAGTCGCAAGTTATGCAATTAGTTTTGTAATTAGTCTATATTTAATACTCCATACATGTGTCCAAACATTCGATGTGACAGGAATTTTAGGAGGAGGTGAAGGAACCAAACAGGGCCTTAGACTCATCTAATCTAGTCCACTCATGATCCATTTTTTCTCGTTGTGGCCTGTCACTGGCCGCCTGTCGTGGCCTCTTGCACGGCCCGTTCGTTGATCTTCTGCGCTACTCCGCGCGCGACTACGCATCGTCTGCGCCCCTTATCCCGTACCGGTTGTCTGCGTGGCCCATTCGCGTGTTCCTTCGCCCCATGTGACCCGTCATTGTCCCCATTACCTGGGCAGCTGGGCTCTTCGTCTTCGCGGCCTGTTGTCGCGGAATCGCCATGCTTCCCGTCCGTCTGCGCTTCCCAGTCCATCCACGCGGCCCGTTGTCGCGGTTTGCTGCTTCCCCACGGCCTATAACTCCACCCGTGACTCGCTCCTCCGCCCGCGAATCATCGTGACTCACTTCGCGTGCCAACGTTCGGCCAGCCTTCAGCCGCCTGCTCGCCTTCCTCGATATTCCCCAGCAGTGGTGTGTTCTGTCCATGCTCTGTTCTGCAGCGTTCTATTGCTTGGTGTTCTGTTCTATGCTGTCCTATGCGGGTCTGCTCTGCTCTACTGCTGTTGTTGAGTGTTGCCTTCTCCAGATAATCATGTCATAGCCCAATCTCATTGTCTTCCCTATGAAGCTTAATGGTCCGTCTAACTATCAAGAGTGGGCATTTTCTGTCAAAACTATATTAAGGGGCCATGGTCTTGCATCCCACTTGACAGATGCTCCTCCAGCTGATAAGTCTAAGGATGGTTCTGGTGCTGCTGCAGTGACAGCTTGGGCTAATGATGTGGCCGTGTGATGAGTGCCATTGTTACCAGTATGAAGCCTCTTTTGATAATGAGTCTTGAGCACCATGAGTCCGCTAAGCAGATGTGGGACTATTTGCAGGGGTGATATGTTTAGAATAGTGGCGCTCTTCTGCTTACACTGATGCAAGGACTTCATGACCTTCAGCAAAATGAGATGTCCATAGAGTAGTACACCGCCTTTTGATCGCGTGATGGGACCTTTTGTCCCCATGGTTCCTAAGTGTGAGCAAGGGTGTTCTAGCTGTTGTGCTAAAAAGAACAAGTTTTATACTCGTGGATGTGCCACAACCTCACCTTGGTGCTGGGGTTGCTGTATTGGTTTTAGTCCGGTTTTCCAAAATTAACCGGACGAAAGGGTTTTGCCTCGTTTTTCCCCAAAAACGAGGTTGTTGATATATATCAATATATATTCAGGTGGGGATTCAATCACCCCCGGTTCAAAAAAAGAACAAGTTCATTGAGAAATTCCTCATATATCAGTTTTGTCATGGATTGAGGTCTGATTTTGGGCCCATTCGTATGCAGTTGTTGAATGCTCCTACTACTACATCCATTGCTGATGTATTGTTTGCCTTGATTGCTGAAGAGACATGTCATAGTTCCATGTCACCTTCTGCATCAGTACCTCACAGTGTTTTAGCAGCTTCTCAAGAGACCAACGCAGTGAAGGGCAGCTCTTCTGAGCCTTGTGAGCATCACAAGAAGACCTCTGCCACCCATGCCTCCAACCCAGCTGGCGCTGCCCCCACCCCCAGCATGGAGGGGCGTCAGGTGAAGCGCCTCTTCCTGTCTGAGATGGAGGAACGCTGTCGCTTGGGGCTGTGTTACAACTGTAACGAGAAGTTCGGGCACGGACACATTAAGGTGTGTCTTGCCTAATGGGCCAACGTCATGTGGGGGCAAGCAGTACATGCGCAGGGACACTGCCAGGAGCGCGTCGAGCGTGCCGCGCGCAATGTAGGCGTTTTGGTTAGGCAGGCTATCAGCCACGGCTTGAGTTTAGGAGATTACCATCTCTGGTTTGTTAGTGGCCCAGGGCCTATTTACATCTTGTATGAGACTTTAACAATTATCTCCACTCCTAATCTCCCTTCTTGAACATAGGGTGCCGAGGGGAAAAACCTCGTCCCATTACCGATCGAGACTACGAGCTTCGTAGCCAAGGTCCTTCCTCCCTGAACCCCAACGCCCTTGACAACCAATTTGATTCTTGATGCCCAAAAGGCCAAAACAGTGGACTTCTCACATTTGCCACCCAAAATGTATTTCTTGATTGCTTAGAGCATCTCCAGCAGTCCCCCAATCCATCTCCCCCAATATAGCTGTATTGGTGGCCACCAATACTGCTTTTGGGTTTTATTGGTGGCGTTGCTCTAGCAGTTCCCCAATACTCATCACCAATACACTGGGCCCTACCTGTCAATTTATGTTTTTCCGTCCCTTTCCTCTTCCCTCCGTGCTCCTCTCGACTCGCGACATGGCCATGGCTGCTGTGGGAGCGGCCGCCGTCGCCGGCGACGAGGTCCCGTAGGCACCAGATCCCGTGCGGAGGTGGAGAGGCGCCAGATCCAGGGGTGATGCTGCTGGATCCAGCAGGTCGAGGCGCGGCACGGCTCCGACGGGTCAGCACGCCTCCGACGATGCCTTCCACGGCGACGCTGGTGGCGTCCTTCTGGACGGCGAAGGAGGTTGACCTCTCTGCCAACACCCAGCACTGAGACGAGGCGCTGTCCCCCAACGAGTGCCACTTCATCTCCCACGTGCTCGCCTTCTTCGCCGCCTCCGACGGCATTGTGCTCGAGAACCTCGCCTCCCGCTTCAAGTCCGACTGGGCCATGCGCTGGATCGACGGCGGGGAGCGCTCCCATGGCTGCCACCGCAAACCACGAGCAGTGATGGGGAAGAAGATGACAGTTAGCTTTTGGGGGAGATGCAACTCCCCCTCTATTTGAGGGGAGATGGGGTGTTTTTTGGTGGCCACCAAAGGGAAGGGGGGGGGTTATTGGGGGACTGCTGGAGAAGAAAAAGTGACCCATCTTCCCCAATATGACAGTTTTATGGGGATGAGGAGTGGGATTGGGGGACTGCTGGAGATGCTCTTAGCACCCAAAACATTGCCACCCTTGCAAATTTGCTGTTTCGACCTTTCCTAGTGTTTTGATTATCTTTTCCACTCTCAACCCATATTAATTGACCATTTTGCCCTCTGGCCAGGTTGAGCCCTTCCTGGCTCCACCACAACCATCCATTTGCACCCAATAGTGGCAACATTGCCCCGTGCCACTTTTTGCAGCAATGAAGGGCACATACCCATCAAATAAGTTGAAATATCAAATGACTATACAAGATGAGTAGCGATGGTGTGCTGATCATGTACTCCCAAACCATATATGCGAGGAGGGTCTTCATGGCCAGGCATTACAGTAATGATGTCAGCCACCACAACTGCCACAAGTGCATCTCCACTGTGTGACCCATGCGGAACGACGAGGGCTGATGGGGGGTTGGAACAGCTGGGGCAGATGAAGCACCTCTGTGTGCACCTTCCTTGCTGTTTGGCTCACCAAGAATCCACGTCATGTGCTGCCTCATAACTGGCGGCGCCTGTTTCGTGGGCAACTGGAGCTGATGTGACGAGGGGGTTTGAAATAGAGACCGACTGCGCCCACTCGGCACGTGGACGCTTTACTACCCATGCCACTGGTTTGGTGTCACCGTCCAAATCGCCTAGGCCAAGAGTTCCTGCTTCAAGCATGCAGGGAGGCGGCTGCCAACATATATATGAATAAAGAAGAAAGACCCATCATTTATGTATGAGTTTGCTCAGGATGATTTGATGTTAATGGTCATCTTTGACACCAACAACCCCCCCCCCCCCCAAAAAAAAATCATAGTGTGGCTATGTGGATTGTTGCTATATTTTCATAAAGCTGTGTTTCTGATTATACTTCATAGGTAGAAAGATATTTTGTCCTTTTTGTGCATGCTGAACCACTTGAAAAACCTGAGCAAGTTTATTAGAATTTCCTTGCTGATTCAGCACTGCTGCCAGTTTGTAGTGAGTTGGTCTGAATTTATTTATCATTTGAATTTTCTGATACATATATCAATACCTTTTCAGCTCATAGCTTAATTGATGCTCTCGCAAGGCTGCACAAAGTGGGCTGAATGTTCAAGGAGGGCAAAGGAGCATGAAGAGGAGGGCTGGATTTATGTACTGTAAAATGTTTGTGAACTATGTTCCCTTTCATGTACAAAATTGCAATGGATTTTTCTCCTGATGGTAGATCCAGTTAATTTTTATTAAATTTTGAGATAAAGATAGTTGCTTTCAAATTTGTTGATAGTCATGTTAACCATCACCTCTCATTTACCTGGACTTTTGTAATTATGTCTAGCGCTTGACATTTTTTTTTCTTTTTTGCCTATCGGCATATCCAGAACCAATTTTTATTCTCTTCTACTGTTCTCATGAATAATGTTCTTGCAGAGGCTCTATCTGGTTTGGACTTGCAGAGGCTCTATCTGGTTTGGATGTTTCATGTTTAACAATGAGTTAGCATTTTTGTTTTATCTTTTTTCTTTCGTGACGCTCATGAGTACTCGACGCCATGAAGAGTTTAGGCTTGCATACATAAATGGATTAATGCAACTTCCTGAAAGCTTTCTGAGCGTAAGGCTGATTAGGATGGAGCATGGGACATTGTTACAGAGTTAACCTCATTTGGGCATTGGCATTTAAACCTCGAGTTCTGGGTATTGTGTGAAAGGAATACTCTTGGTCACATACTGAGCACGGAAAAGCTTCATGTACCAGAAAACCATCAAAATCATAAAGTTCCCACATCTGTTTTTTTATGGTTTGGCTGATTTCCTTAGATTGTGTGATAAGAGGCACGAGTCTGAAATAGATGCTGTTTAGCGCTGAATCTGCTATTTGAGATGCAAGCACGGATTTAAACGGGACCATAGTCTGGGCTCTATAATTATGTATGTGCACTATTTCAGACTGAAGGAGTCTGAATCGATATATTCACGGACCATCCGGCGGTGAGGGCTGAACCGTCAGCACGAAAATTACATAGCCCAGAAAATACAGAATTTTGTATACAACTTTTTTAAAATTGAGTTTAAAATGCTAAAATGCTCATAATATTAATAATTATACAATGGGAACGATCGGATCATGACAATTAGATTGGGGATGGCTTTAAATTATAATTGCATGTCGGTTATATATGTAGCAGTTTATGGTTCGAATAGTACAGAACCATGCTCGTATCCACAAACCCAGCAGATAAGACTTTTGTTTATTCTATATGGGTAAATAAATTACGGTAATGATACTATTCGGGTGTCCGTTCCTCCAGACGCCACCTCCACGAGCCTTGTGCGCCGCTGCCGCCACCACCAATACCGGCGGCCTTAGAAAGGGAGGGGCCCAGAGGTGACGGCCGAATAAGCGTTATTGACGATTGGACGGGTGGCGAGCTTGGCCACCGAGCGGGCAGGGGCGGACAGCCGGTGGGTAGTGCCGGCAACAGGAAGTTGAGGTAAGTCACGGGATTGCTATTAGGAGTGGGCGGACGGCGATCAGGTTGCCGGCGGCCACAATGGCGTCCGAGGTGGCGGCGGCAGGGAGGAGTGTGGCAGAACGACTTAATTTAATCCACTCCCAAGAGTACTTGTCTTCCATTAGACACTAAGTACCCAAAGAAGCACACTAAATCTAATAGTTCTGTCGAGTACACCCAATGAGAGAACTCAAAAATCTACATTTTTTTCATCATAATTATAAACAAGTGAATAAAGCTTACAACATTCTTAACCATTTCATACATCACACAATTACATAAAATCAGAGTTATTACAAAACATGTTTTATACAGCAGCTGAAATAATAATTATAGTGTAACATGAATAAGAGTTGATACTTTACTGGTTTACAAGACTTGCAGCAGAAAATAACATATGATTAAAGTTGTAGTGAAAATAAATATTTATTCAAAGATATGTCTAAGCATTTAACATGATAAACAATTATACAAGATGTGATAGAGAGTTGTAAGAGTCATTTCTTTATAAAAACATTTGATGATGGTTATAAATAAAAACTACGATCGTAGCGTAAAAGGAATTCTCGCTGAGCCCACCAGGAGGTATCCATGGACAAGAGTTAGCTCTAGCTTCTACCTGTTACCTGCAACAGGGGGAATAAAACCCTGAGTACTCGAGTGTACTCAGCAAGACTTACCCGATAGGAGAAAATAAAATGACTCCAAGGATATGCAATGCTTATTTGGTTTGCTGGTTTGTTGAACTTATAGGAAGCATTACTAATATTGCATCATTATATTCAAAGTTTTAGCACTCATGATTATTTTATTAACTAACCATTCTAGGTAAGCACCTTTACTACTTTCAAGTATGTGATAAGCAATCAGAATCATTTTAAGTCCTCGTTCATGTTTCAGTTCTTGCTACGGTGCCAGACCACAATCAAGTAAGTACCGTCTCAAAAGAAACGGCGATTCGTGAACCGATATATATATCCCAGCTGGGTACCCCAAACACATTTCTCGTCTGAACCCAAAAACACAAACAAGACTAACCCTTCCCAATCCTATCACAGGGTCTAGGACCTTGCCCAAACTCGGACTCCAAGTCCCAACCCTACGGCCTATGCGGCAGTTTGGCACACTTGGAACTCCACATGTCCCTGCCTCCATACAAGTTGGCTTGGAAAGAGCCGGAACCCATGACAAGAATGGTGCGCGAGCCTTCCCGCCCCCACGAAGCAAGTATGTGATGAGAACATTCAAAACTTGACCGCCATCCACAGCAATAGATCCTTAATCGACTCTGGTGGAAAACCGTGCAACCAAGACAAAAGCTCTGCGGCCACAAGACCCATCCCGCTGCACCCACCAATATCCCTAACAACCTTTCATGTTTCCTGCCCGGTCACCAATTACTTTCCACCAATTTTCATGAGAGTAATAATTAACCTATTGTGAGCAACGGCATGTCGCTCACACTATCGATGGGTCCTAAGCATAGTGTCGGGGACCTAATACCGGGGTACCCCAAAGAGGAGGAATCAATGAACCATCGAACGGTAAAAACTCCCGAAAGCGTGGTTACATCTCTTGCCCGACCAAACGGAAGTCTTGTTCCGCCTCGCCCGAGCGCCCATGTGCCCTTAGGACCCGCTCTACCTCGCCTGACGGCAATGAAGGCGACTCACCGCCTGACGGCCGGGGCGACTCCGCCTCCCCCAGACGGCTGAGGCGACTCCGCCTCGCCCGACGGCTGGGCTCGGCTTCACCCGACCCCGAAGCGCTCACTCGCCTCGCTCAACCCCGAGGCTGGGCTCGGCTCCGTTCGACGACTGGAGGGCGACTCCGCCTCGCCCGACGGCTGGAGGGCGACTCCGCCTTGCCCGACGGCTGGGCTCGGCTTCACCCGACCCCCAGGGGGTGCGCTCCGCCTCGCTCAACCCCCAAGGGCTGGGCTTGGCCCCGTTCGACGGCCGGGGGACGACTCCGTTTCACCCGACGGGTAAAAACTAGGTTTTTACCTCATCCAAACGGCCAATGACGAATCTCGCCTCGCCCGATATCCGGGGTCGGCCCGATCTCACTGACGAACCGCACCCTGTACCCTCATGATGACGATTGCAGGGTAAGACAAGACGTTCGAGTCAACCGCAGCGTTAGACGCCATGCCCCGCACCCTGCAGGGAAGTACCGTCGAGATGTGACCAGCGAGCGCTTGACTTTCTCCGGGCGTGGCGAGCTCGAATAGTGTTGCGGGCGCCCGCTCTCCGTCCCTGAT